CATTACTGTCGGTTATAACCAAGGAAGAAAATATCGGTAATATTGGAAATATCGGTAGTCCGAAAACACGAAAATATCGATGGAAATATCGGTAAAATATCGATATCGATAAAAATTACATGGAAACCACGGAAATTGTAAGAAAAACTTGGAAATTTTTAATGAAACTTTGTAGGATGTTTATTTAGTCAATTATCTATTAGTTTATCACAAAAAATTGGAAGGAAATGCATTGCATGATGGATTTAACTGATTTAAGTTGATTATATAGCGAGCTGGCAAACATTGTGAGTGTAGAAAATATGTAGTAATTAATGAAAGAAGTTTAAACACACCATAATCATTTATATATAATTAATTAGTACAATATTTGGAGGTTTTATTTAGGATATTAAAAAAAAAAAAGGGAAGTGAATAAAATGATGAAGAATAATGTGCCGAATTTGACACTTTAAATTTCTTACACATAAGAATAAGACTAAACTTTAATTTGGATGCCGATTATGTTTTTTCAAGTTTATATAAAGTAAAAGAATTGAATTTTGGAAACCAGGAGTGTGTCAATTGAATTTTGGCCGGCGTGCAAGGTATCAATATCTTCGTCTCGTCGAGTAGTACAACTTTCCTTTTTGTTTCACTCAATTTCGTTGAGTATTGAAAAAGTTATACTCATTTGAATCTTACCCAGTTTCCGGCGACCTCAGTGGATTTCGAGGCAATTTCTAGCCAAACCACAATGAGTCAGACGTCGTGTAAGGTACCATTCTCTTCGTCTCTTCGAGGGCTACAACTTTCCTTTTCGTTTCACTCAATTGCATTGCGTATTGAAAACGTTATACTCATTTGAATCTTACCCAATTTCCGGCGACCTCAGTGGCTTTCAAGGCAATTTCCGGCCAAACCACGGCGCGTTGGCCGGCGTGCAAGGTATGAATCTCTTCGTCTCGTCGAGTAGTACAACTTTTCTTTTTGTTTCACTCAATTTCGTTGAGTATTAAAAAAGGTATACTCATTTGAATCTTACCCAGTTTCCGGCGATCTCAGTGACTTTCAAGGCATTTTCCGGCCACACCACGACGATTCAGACGTCGTGTGAGGTACCATTCTCTTCGTCTCTTCTAGGAATGCAACTTTCGTTTTTGTCTTGCTTGATTTCGTTGAGTTTTGACAAAGTTATGGCCGTTTAAAGTGGGTGTAAATATTCGGCCGAAATTCTGATTTTCTTCCTTGAGTGACTGAGTCCCACATCGCCCAGCGAGGGCAGTGAGCAAGCCAAAATTGCCTATAAAAGGCACATTCACCTCCTGAGAAAGCTTGTCTTCATGTCTTGATGTCTTGGTTGGCTTTTGGGCTTTGATCAAGTGTAGTATGTTGAGATTTGTCAACATATTAAGTATTTTTGAATATTTTATTACGATATTATCGTTAATTTTAAAAATATCGCGATATTATTGATAATATCGTGATATTTTGACGAAAATTATTTGGATAGTTAAAAAAATATCGGATCTTAAAAAAAACGATAATATCGGCGAAATATCGCCGATATTATCGATTTTTTATTCTTTGGTTATAACCGACAGAAAAAAAAATGGCGGCACAAGATTCCCTCCGAAAATTTTAAATTCCCCCAAAAAAATTTAAATTCCCCCCAAAAATTTTAAATCCCCCCCCCCAATTTTGTTACGATTAAAAAAATAAAATAATAATTGTTTGGTTTAATAAATAATATGTATTTAAATAGAATACGTTTTTAAAAATTAAATAAATAATTGTTTGGTTTAATAGATAATTTTTACACTTTTGGTTTAATAGATAATAACCCATGTAAAATATGCGATAAATAAACAAAAAGAGAATTATACAATGTAAATGTCATTACATTACCATCAACAAGCGAGAAGGAGAAGGAAATGAGGAGAAGAGAAAAGGGGGAAGGGAGAAGCAGCGGCGCAAGGAAAGAGATGGAGGGGTTTTATTTTGGAATATTGTCATTACTGTCGGTTAAAACCGACAGAACAAAAAAATTTAAAATAAAAATGGACACAAAAGTTCATTACTGTCGGTTATAACCGACAGAAAAAAAAATGGCGGCACAAAATTCCCTCCGAAAATTTTAAATTCCCCCAAAAAATTTTAAATTCCCCCCAAAAATTTTAAATCCCCCCCCCCCAATTTTGTTACAATTAAAAAAATAAAATAATAATTGTTTGGTTTAATAAATAATATGTATTTAAATAGAATACGTTTTTAAAAATTAAATAAATAATTGTTTGGTTTAATAGATAATTTTTACACTTTTGGTTTAATAGATAATAACCCATGTAAAATATGCGATAAATAAACAAAAAGAGAATTATACAATGTAAATGTCATCACACAAACGAAATATTGTCTAATCAATACTTGAAAAACATAAATAAAAATTTAGCACAAATTACTTTTCCCACTTCAAAATTTAGGCAAATTTAACAGAGATATGCATTCTATGAAACTAGTTTCCATGATCTAACCGTCAAACTTGTTTGTAGATACTACAAGATCGCTTACATAAAAAATCGCAAAAAAAAAAACATTCAGAAATTAGGTAACAAAACAAAAGTTTTCGACGGTTATGAACAAAATATTTACAATTTAATCTACCGTTTTGACGCGAATTTGATCTTCAATTTAAAATATTTACACTAGTGGATACCACAAATCTTATTTTATACTTAATGGAAGTATAATATTAACTCTAAGTGTTTGTTTAATCTACCGTTTTGACGCGATATGCATCCTACAAAACTTTTTTCAACGATCCAACCGTTAAACTTATTTGTACGCACTCTGAGATCGCATACGTAAAAAATCACAGAAAACAAACATTCAGATATTAGGTAACATAACAAAAGTTTTCGACGGTTATAAATGAAAATCACAATTTAACGGTTATTTTAGCTCCGATTTTGATGATTTTTTACAGCTACACTCCTCGACCCTATAAGAATGCATTGAATGAATTTGATCTTCAATTTAAAATATTTACACTAGTGGATACTACAAAATCTTATTTTATACTTAATGGAAGTATAATATTAACTCTAAGTGTTTGTTTAATCTACCGTTTTGACGCGATATGCATCCTACGAAACTTTTTTCAACAATCCAACCGTCAAACTTATTTGTACACAGTCTGAGATCACATATGTAAAAAATCACAGAAAACAAACATTCAGATATTAGGTAACATAACAAAAGTTTTCGACGGTTATAAACGAAAAATCACAATTTAACGGTAATTTTAGCTCCGATTTTGATGATTTTTTACAGCTACGCTCCTCGACCCTATAAGAATGTAATGAATAAATTTGATCTTTAATTTAAAATATTTACATTAGTGGATACCACAAAATCTTATTTTATACATAATAGAAGTATAATATTAACTCTAAGTGTTTTTTTAATCTACCATTTTGACGCAATATCCATTCTACAAAACTTTTTTCAACGATCCAACCGTCAAACTTATTTGTACACACTTCGAGATTGCATACGTAAAAAATCGTAAAAAACAAACATTCAAAGATTACGTAACGGAACAAAAGTTTTCGACGGTTATAAACAAAAAATCACAATTTAAACGTTATTTTAGCTCCAATTTTGATGATTTTTTACAGCTACACTTCTCAACCCTATAAGAATGTAATGAATAAATTTGATCTTTAATTTAAAATATTTACACTAGTGGATACCACAAAATCTTATTTTATTCTTAATGGAAGTATAACATTAACTCTAAGTGTTTGTTTAATCTATTGTTTTGATGTGATACGCATTCTAAGAAGATTTTTTCAACGATCCAACCGTCAAACGTATTTGTACACACTCCAAGATTTTATACGCAAAAAATCGTAAAAAACAAACATTCAGATATTAGGTAACGAAACAAAAGTTTTCGACGGTTATAAAAGAAAAATCACAATTTAACGGTTATTTTAGCTTCGATTTTGATGATTTTTTACAGCTACACTCCTCGACCCTATAAGAATGTAATGAATAAATTTGATCTTCAATTTAAAATATTTACACTAGTGGATACCACAAAATCTTATTTTATACTTAATAGAAGTATACTATTAACTAATGTTTGTTTAATCTACTGTTTTGATGCAATATGCATTCTATGAAACTTTTTTTAACGATCCAACTGTCAAACTTATTTTTACACACTCCGAGATTGCATACGTACAAAATTGTAAAAAACAAACATTCAGATATTAGGTAACGAAACAAAAAATTTCGATGGTTTTAAACAAAAAATCACAATTTAACAGTTATTTTAGCTTTGATTTTGATGATTTTTTACAGTTACACTCCTCGACCCTATAGGAATGCATTGAACGAATTCGATCTTCAATTTAAAATATTTACACTAGTGAATAATTTTTTATACTTAATGGAAGTATAACATTAACTCTTTCAGTGTTTGTTAAATCTATCAATTTGATAGGTATGCATTCTACGAAACTAGTTTCAACGATTTAACCGTCAAATATGTTTATATATACTCCAAGATAGCATGTGTAAAAAATCGCAAAAAAAAAAACATTAAGAGATTAGGTAAAGGGACCGTGAGTGAAAACAAATATTTACACCATTTGTTTATTTATTTTTAATCAATGTAACATTTTAAAATAATAAAATAGTCAATTTCTGTCGGTTATAACCGGTAGAATACTAAAATAATAACCGCCAGAATCTAAAATAATAAAATAGTTAATTTATGTCGGTTATAACCGCCACAATTAACTTAGAAACCGCCAGAATATGTAAAAATATTAAAAAAAAAAGAATTCAAAAATACTGAGGGTTATAATAATTTTATGACGGTTAAATCTGACACACCCCGACCTGAAAAGGTCGAAGCATGCTGGCCGTCACCGTGAGGTGACGTAACCATAAGGGTAAGTGATGCAAAAAGTGAATAAAATTAAAACTAGGTAGGACTAAACAGTGAAAGAGTGCGCAATTCGTGGGTTGAACCCACTACAATTATTCAAAGCGTAATAGACAGTGAGACTACGAAAGAGTAGTCAAAGCAACCCAAAGTACACTTATTACATAGTAGTGATAAGTTCGTACGTCTAAACAGAAGGAAATGTCAGAACTGTCGTGATTCCTCGAATGCCACAGAGAGTACAATTATTTAGGTCCTGGAGGGGCAAAAAACAAAGTTGAGTGGGTCAGCAAAACAATGCTTATAAGAAAACCTTTATCTTTGAATATACTAACCCCTCGCCGTAAAACAAGTATAGTTTCCTCAAAACATACTACGTAAGTATGAAATCCAATATATATATCAACCATATAACCAGAATTATGCCAAGTCAATGATGTATCATATGCCACAATAATAATCAAGTGATAATCAATATAACTAAGTGCTCATCCATCTAAGCTGACACACAAGTTCGGACAGATGGTTTTTGGCACGAACAGAACTGGGTGTAATCAATATGCTCTAGTACTACGATCACGTGAAGACTGGTGCAAAAACACATCACATACAAGTCGGATCGCCTAATGCAATCTACCCGACAAGACTGGCACCTAAACTTGGATCCAAGGTGAGCAAACGGTGCGGATGTGAACATACACGTGAAGGACTGGCCCTGGCCCTGGGGCGAGTACTAACACCGGGTGCAGCAAGATGAGCATGTACACAAGTATGTATGAATGTCATGACAGTAATATCACAACCATATAGCAGCATTTATCACAATTTATTTCACAATAATGATACTAGGCAATATAAGCGTAAAAATGAAGTAAATACGCATTTATGGAAACTATAAATATATATAGGTATAAAACAACTGCCCACTCACAAGTACGTACGTCGTTGGGTCGTAGCCCCCGAGCCTAGCTTGGCCTCGAAAATCCTCGGAATAAGTTTCCCCTATATGTGAAATAACTAAATATCATTAATTAACGTACATAACGGAAACCTACATAAAATGCCCATAGTTTGCTCAAACCTAGGGTATAAATATATGAAATCGATCTACTCGACGACACGAACGCACACGCGTCAACCACGCGCCGATCGGATGCCGGACGCGCCCCCACGCGTACACTGTACTTGCCTTCTTCGCGAAAATCTGCAGTTTTGTAGATTTTTGGGTCAACTTCCAGAGCTTATAACGAGCTTGATTCTCAACCAAATTCACTTCTACAAAAGCCAAATTAAAGCTAGGAATGTGGTCTACCGATTCCAATTTACAGAAAGGTTGAATATAGTCCTTGTTGTTCGGAAATTTGGCCTTAAAGTGGCCAAACGACCACGGTTACAAATTTTCCAGAAACTGAAATTTTCTTCCTAACTTCCAGAGTTGATTTCTAACTCGTTACTTAACCAAACTCAGTGATTCAAAAGCCATTTTGAAGTTAGGAATGTAGGGAACAAGTTTGTACCTAGAAGAAGTTCAGTTGTGGTCGAGGTTGACCAGAAAAATGGTTTGAAAGTGACTAAAAGGCCACGGTTCTTGAACGAAAAACTTCGGGTTTTCCTTCTTCCTCGGCTCGCCAGACTTTTTTCGCCGGTTTCTGGGCAGTTTTTCAAATTGCCATAACTTTGTCATTTCTTCACCATTTTCAACGTACTTTATATAAAAATGAAGATATTGACGAGACGAACACATATATACCTGTCTCGACCCTTAACTCGCCGGGAATTCACCGGAAAAAGCCTCGAAAGCCGTCGGACTCGCCGGAAACTGGGTAAGATTCAAATGAGTATAACTTCTTTAATACTCAACTAAATTGGGTGAAACAAAAACGAAAGTTGTAGTTCTCGAAGAGACTAAGAGAATGGTACCTCGCACGACATCTAACTCTCCGTGGTTTGGCCGTAAAACGCCTCGAAAGTTCCGGCCAAACTTTGAACTTTCCGATCTCTGTGTTTTTGGCATCCAAAACTTCCAACGAAGCACTCCGAGCTTCCTAAGAACCTCCTTAAGCTCACTATGAGCTTAAAAACTCCTAAAAATCAACCAATAATTATTGCATGAACAGTGACCCAAACGGAGGTAAGTGGTTCGACGTGAAAACAGTGGAAATCTTACCTGAAACTAGTATGGATGAACTCGTATTGACGAGATGAACACGATGGTGATCTTTGTTTCCTCGATCTATGAAGATTTGATGAACTTTGGTGATGATCCGTGTATAGAGAGAGAGGGAGAGGGAGTGTTCGAAGGGAGAGAGAGATAGAAAGATGCTTTTCTGATTTGAGGGAGGGGACAGAACATACAGAAAAAAAATGGGATAGTGGAGACCGAATGATGAAGGGAAGTGCACAGGTAGGATTTTACACTTTAAAATTTTACGCACACACGTACTAGCGTGTACAATTTAAATGCGATAGCGAGAAATAAAATGGAAAGCGTTAAGAATAAGTCCACGTCTCTTGCCAATAAAGGCATAATCGTCAATACATATACTCGGGGAGAAATTACATAGGAAAATTTGGGACGGGTCGTCACAAAATCCGCCAGGAAAAATCCGCCAGAAATTTATGTCGGATATATCCGACAGAAAGTAACTTTAATCCGACAGTAAATAAATTATGTGTCAGAAATCTTTTATCCGTCAGAATGACTTATTAACCGGCAGGATCATCCGACACCTAAAGCTAATATTGTAGTAGTGTGTATCTGCAGACAAGGAACAAAGCAAAATATATGCAGAAGTAATTTCAATATATTCAAAACCAACCATATGATCGTGGAACTTCTGAATCCTAGACAAGTTGAGTTGCTCTGATACCACATGTAAGAAGTAATCTGAAAATCAACAAGTTACTAGGATCACAAATATAACAAATATAACGACAATAAAACAATCAAACAATTAAAGGGAAATAAACTTATCTTCCAAAGCAGAGGAAGAAGAAGCCATGACTGCTAGGGTTTCAAGGAGGAACTTCTACACTCTAGCAGCCAAGAGTCCTTGTGCACTGAAATAGGGTTTTGCACTGGAATAGGATAATGTTGTGAGTGCAAGGACCTCCTAATATATAGATGATCATCCCTTTAATCCGGCCTATTAACTGATTAAAGGGATATTCCAAATCAATTAGGATTTCATTATAGTCCAAAATGGTAATGAATTCTTTGTCAACTAAATAAGGTTTTCATAATTAATTGCACTAAATAAGGACTCCTAAACCTAACCAAATAAGGCTCCATAATTTTCTCAACTATTAACTCGAATTTACCAAGTTACTGTATGTCAAGAAACAGGAAGCACATGTTCTTTGACACTCACAACTTACAACTACGAGATATGGCAAGAAAGGAGACAAAGTATGAAATGAGCTCAAACATCCATGTAGAATTGCAACTTTGCTATTCCAAGAGCATTTTCATAATTTCACAACTTTAAGAAAGTAACATACAATAAAATTAGGGACGGATTGTAACAGAACAATCCAACCTACCTACATGAAAATCAGTAAAACTAAAACGTAACAGCAAGAAATAAATAAGTAAACTAGTTGGATTAGTTCACTTTGTATCTCTACTTGTAGAATCTGATGACTTTATACTTGTACTCCAAATGATGAAAATTCAAAGTATAACATTTTTAGTCTTTAATTTGGACAGGTGCATGAATATTGAAACCTACAAGGGGGTTATTACTAGGAAATTCAAATGGTCATTTTCACTTTACCAATTCCAATTATATCATATTAGAGAATATTAGAGCATCAATTATATTTGCTAGTACGTTTCTTTGAGGTTGTACTTGTACATGCATGGAAACTACAGCAAGGAAGTATAGATTTACAAGAGTTGATTTGATGCCTAAAAGACACATTCGGACAAAAAATAGACCTAATCAATGTAAGATTTCAAATTTTGCTGCAAGACAACATGCAAACATTAATTTACACCACGTGTGTGTCTATATATACACAAATGTCGTCTTGTTGGAGTACTCTACTGATTTAGCCTATAGTTCTTTCAAGTTAACCTCCATTAGGGAGTGATATATATCAGATATTGGAAGTTTAACAAAGATATTAAAACGAAAAAATTTTAAATTTTAAGCGGCTTTCTAGATGTAATTTTGGCCAAGATGGAGTTGAATTAATTCCACGCACCATACTGCAGAAATACTGTATGCATGCAAGGAAAAAAGACCGAAGTATTGATTAATTCCTAATGTTGACTATATGACCCAAGAAAAAAGGAGGGAATCTATTAATGTTGACTGAGTAAAAAGTATATACGGCAGCATTCTTGTCAATATAAATAGGAAGAGAGCTCTAAAAGCCATTCTTAAAAATAAAAAATAATAATAATGTCTCAGTTTGCTCTTCTTTTTTATTTCCTGATCACAGTTTCAGTTAGGGAAGGAATTACAACATTTGGAAATGCCAATACAATAGAGAACGAACCCGGAATGGGACTAGGTGCTATTATCGACAACAGTTCTCGGATTGGAAAAGAAGAGAGAGTGGCAATTCAAATGGCATTGGATGATCATTTTGATTCCACTGGGAATCAGAGAATGGTTCTGCACGTAAGAAACTCTCAGAGGGAGCCCTTGCAGGCAGCTCTTGCAGGTAATTAGAGCCTGTTTGATATCCTATTTGAAAATTTTCATCATTTCTCAAAACATTTCTTAAGAACATTTCTTGAAAACAATTTTCTTTAAGACTCAAAAACTTGATTGGTTTGCAATTTAAATTTTTTAAATCTTACGACTTAAACTAGACAAATAGATCTAAAAAGAGGGGGTCGTAGGAGAGGGAGAAAGAGGAGAGAGGAGGAAAGAAAGTAAGAGATGATTGAAGGAAAGAGAAAGAAGAGAGTGGATCGGACGAGGTAGAGAGGAAGAGGAGTGAGAGAAAAGAGCGGATTGAAGGAGAGACGAAAAATATATTAAAAAAAAAAGGAGAAAGAAAGAAGAAACGAGAGAGATGGGTTTGGAGTGAGGGGGGAGGAGGGAGTGAGAGGGAAGGAGGAAGAGAAAAGGAGTGAGTTTAAGTTTAAAAATTCTAAAAAATTATTTTTTATGTTTTTAGATAATAGACTATATTTTTTAGTTTAGTTTTTTAAAATAGTCCACCAAACAAGTTTTTAAGACCTAAAACTTGAAACATGAGGTATAATAAAAAGCCATATAATTGTGTATTCTTCAATCTGGCGCATATAAAATAAATGTATCATGTATACATTCATTTTTCTCTCTTCTTTGCTTTAAATTTTGGGAACTTTAACGAAAAGCACCCGGTACTGTTCACTTTAACGAAAAACCACATTTTTACACTAAAAAGTCAATCCTGGTACTATTCACTTTACCCTTTATTTTGTCCTTATCATTAAAACTCAAAGTTTTCAAGCCCTTTTCATTAGTTTTCCTTTACATTTTTGCGTGAAAAAACTCAATAGGAAGTAAGTACATAATTGACGGTTGAAAATCAAACGAGGAGATAATGAAAATCAGCTTAATATAACACTTCTAATGCCATAACATTTATCAATCTGCAGCTAAATTTCTTATAGATGAGCAAAAAGTGCTAGCTATTATAGGACCTCATACATGGGAAGAGACATCATTAGTAGCTAAGGTTGGCAGTGAGACTCATACCGCAATTGTTTCCCTTGCTGAGGCTAATCCAATGTGGGCAACTGAGCTGTGGCCCTTTCTGGTTCAAGCTTCTCGTAACCGGTTGAAACAAATGGAAGCAATTGCTGCTATAGTTCAGTCTTGGGAATGGCATCAAGTCACTGTAATTTACCAAGATAGAGATTCTTCAGCCAATGAAGTCTTACCTCATCTCTCTGATGCCTTGAGACAAGTTGGTGCAGAAATTAGCCACCTTGTAGCTCTCCCTCCTTTTGCTTCTTCTTCATTAATTGAAGAGCTTGAGAAAATCCGAAGAGACCAGTGTAGAGTCTTTGTTGTACATTTGTCTGCGCAACTGGCAGTGCAACTATTCCGGAAGGCAAAAGAAATGGAGATGATGGAAAAGGATTATGTTTGGATCACCACTGATCCTATTACAAGCCTTGTCCACTCCTTTAATGCCTCCACCATCTCAACAATGCAAGGGATCATCGGACTCAAGAGCTACCTCCCCGAAAGCGGGAAACAATCTAAGGACTTTGATCATAAGTTTCGTAAAAGGTTTAGCTCGGAACACCCTGAAGAGGAGAACAATGAACCTGGAATCTTTGCAGCACAGGCTTATGATGCTGCAAGGGCAGTGGCTTTAGCTGTGACAGAAAGCAGGAAAGGGAGGAACTTGTTAGCAAAACTTTTGCAAAGCGATTTTCATGGCTTAAATGGAAGAATTAAGTTCAGTGACCAAAAATTAGCTCCACAACATGTATTTCAAATCATCAATGTGAATGGAAAGAGTTACAGAGAAGTTGGATACTGGTCAGATGGATTAGGATTCTCACTGACTCTAGGTGAACGTGCTACTAACAGATCTTCTATGAAATATTTGGGGCAAGTGTTTTGGCCAGGGGGGCCTTGGTTGACTCCAAAAGGGTGGACTGAACCAACAACAAACGCAAACGTGCTGAGAATTGGCGTGCCGACAGGATCAACGTTTAAACAGTACGTAAATGTGAAGAAAGATCCATTGGGACATAACTTATCTTTCAATGGACTTGCAATAGATCTCTTCAAAGCAACCCTAAAGGAGCTGCCTTACCATTTGCCCTACGAGTTCTTTCCCTTCGAAGGAACATACGATTCTTTAGTTGAGCAGATCCATTTGCATGTAAGATATTTACTTTCTAGTCTCTTCAGTTGATTAATTAGTCCAAATTGCATATGCCATTATTTTATATTTCATGGAATAATTAAAGATCAATCAAATTTGACTTGCAGAAATTTGATGCTGTAGTTGGTGATGTGTCAATAGTGTCCCACAGATATAAGCACGCAGAATTCACACATCCCTATACCGAATCAGGATTGATAATGATAGTTCCGGTCAGGTCCAAAACATGTAGCAAAGCATGGTTATTTATGAGACCTTTCACAAAAGCAATGTGGGCACTGATAGGAGCGATCAATGTCTACAATGGCTTTGTCGTATGGCTGATAGAGCGAAACTATTGTCCTGAACTCAAAGGTTCTGTGCTAAATCAAATAGGAAGCTTGATTTGGCTATCCTTCACCACTCTCTTCTCCTTACACGGTAATTTCGTAACCCACATTGATGTTCAATTTCATTTTCCTATTCTCTATTTTTTCTAAAACTTGTCTAAATACAACTTCCATTTGTTTTAACTGATCAAAGGAGATAAGCTGCATAGTAATTTGTCTAGGATGACAACGGTGGTCTGGCTATTTATGGCGCTAATCATCACGCAGACATACACGGCTAACTTTACCAGCATGCTTACTGTCCAGCAGCTTGAACCTACTGTAACAGATGTGGATGCGCTGCTGCGAACCAATGCCA